AAAAAAAGAGACCCACTTTAGATTTTCTATGTATTATTTTCGCATTTTCAACTTATGACCTGGATTTGGGTCCCTAACCCCGTTGTAAGTCGGGGACTGCCTGTACATGGCAATTTACTTATAAAAGCTCAACATCACTTTCTTACTTGAATCTAGTGGGGTGAGCTATGAAGACCAGGGAAAATGTGGGGTTAAGTATACACAAAGATTGTTTTTCAAAAATTCCAACCCTGAGGTAGAACAGGCAACCCTCAAGCTTAATCTAGGAATGTTGCATCAAAATTACCCATTTTTAGGTCAAAGCCTTCTGCACTACCAAAAAATTTCAGATGTTAGGCTTTTGCTTTCATTAAATGGTACTATGAACATATAGAGAAAGACTTTCAAATAATTATGCGTAATACTGTGTATTTTATTTTTATCTTTAGCTAACCAGTTTTTATAATTTACTGTGGATTTATTTTAAAATACGAGACAATTAATAATTTTGTTCTTATTTCTTACTTTCAGTACAGTTCTTGAGTACTTTATGAATGAGATACCTTTTTACTTCTGCTTTAGCTACTTTTACTTCTACCTGAGTAACATTTTGCCAATGACATTGCCTTACCCGAACAAACATTCAATCTATCAGCCTGAGACCACGTGCGTCGCCCCCCCCCACGCGACCTGCACAAACAAGATGCCCTGATTCTGCTGAGTATGGTTTAAAGGGTGGCGTGGCTGCCTGGCCTCTATGATGCAGATCGCCTTCTCAAGTGATGCTGTGAGGACCATGAAGCCACCAGCCCTCGGTGGTAAACACCGACTCCCAATCCTGGCCGAGTTTTGTGCTGGAACAATTTACACAGTACTATTGTCCCTTGGAACACCATACTGGTTCGCATTGACCCGCACTTGTAAGTACAGTACAGCCAAAATGATGACATACCCCTCAGTACTGAAATATTGTGGACTAATTATGCCTACTCGTTTCTGCATTATCTGGAGAAATAAGACACTGCGGAATGAAGAGTAATTAAGTTTAATAGAGTTATGAACTTTGTAACATGTCACTGTGCTTAATAATCAATTGTAATTAAGATGACATCGTCTGAGACTAACTAATTATGTATCAGATAGATCACCATGTAATACTAATGAATGCCTTGTTCTCTGCAGGTTTTGACCACATCAATAAATATTGAATGCGTCAAAAGGCGAGTTTCAATCATTACCTTCGACTTGCCCGTCACCTGAACGTCCTTAACCAAGGCGTTTACAGTCTGGTACTTTTTACAACTCTGATTCTGGAGGTGGTTTCCATGGAATGGTTTTGGGTTAGAGATATTAGCTATAATACAAGATAAAAATAGTGAAGCCCACTTTTGTTAACACAGCAAATAACATGGCAAGTATAATACCTGCGGTCTCCAGTAATATTTAATGAAATATGACTTTAAAGAAAACTATATCTAACCAAACCTTCTCGAGCTTTTATTAAAAGTAGATGGCCATGAGGACACCATGTTTCCATTTCTGTTAAAGCCTGAATTAATATGTATAGTACAGAGCTGGTGTCTGCCAAGTAATACTGTATAAGTGACAGTGAGCTCCATACTGCATAAATTAGAAAGGACAACATGACAACAATAATAGTACAGTATTGGAGGGGGTATCCTCTTGCATATACGAGTACATAATGCCTGGAAGATTCGAAGTGGGATAAGCACCCAGCTGAGGGTGAAAGAGAATCAATGTGAAAGTATGTTAGACATATATAAAATGGTCCCAATGTACTAGTTGGAGCTGTCTATGGAAAAGGCAACTGCTACAATAAAAACAATGAAACCCTCAAACAAAATATTATTGCAGAGGGATAAAAAGACTGCCTAGTTGTCACTGTTGTTCAGTCTTCCATCGATAAAATGGGTCACTCACAAAATAAACTCGGCACCACACACAATCTAACAACAATTCAATACTATGACACTTCAGGCTAAGTACCCAACTCATCCTGGCATAAACTTCACTCGTACCAAAGGACTCGACTAACCAAGCACATTAGATCTACAGTAACTATCACCTCTGAGTATGATGTACATAATTGAAAACTTAATGGTAAATGCTCCTCTGGGGAAAATTTACCAAGCTGTGATCACCTTTGACTACCAATATGGCAGTATTGTACTGTAGTTCTACCCAAAATGAAGATGAAAGGCACAAACTGAATTACTTCAAAGGTTACCATGACTGGGATAGACTTTTGGGAGACAGTTCAAACATAAACAAACAGTGGAATACTTCTGCAACTGGCAGAGTTTTTTTTTACAAATGTAAGAGTCAAGGACACACAGCAACCAAACACCACTAGTTTAGCAAGCATGCAGATTGAGCCACAAGAATGAATAATTTTGCTTGGAAGAGGTTCCAGTCACACAGAACACCTGCAATTTATCATAAATGTACTGCAAAGAAACAAGTCTGCTGCTACGCTGAGAAAATAAAAAGGCAATATTAAAAGAACATATTACAAAATATACGGAGTAACCTCATGGCACCCTTCAAAACGTAAACAGCAAGAAAAAAAGTAGAAACCCAACAGGATATCTCTTAAAATCAGATGGATCTCTAACTCAAAATAACCAAGAGGTTGCAGAAACATTAAACAATTTCTTTCTCTCTGTTTTTATCAAGAAGGATAGCAGAGATTTAATATTCCTTAATGACTTTCTTTGGTCATTAAACAAAACTATAATAAACTCTTTCAGTGAAAACTCCGAGCCTATTAGAACCCTAAGCACATGATGTACCCTAAGAAACATACAACCTACTAAAGAAACTGAATGAAAACAAAGCAATGGGACCAAATGTTAAAATTTGAAGATATTAACACCTATTGCTGTGCCCTCTTTGTTTACATATCAATCAATCACTTGCTTGGCAATAATTATTTCCAGTTCCGAAATAATCAGAGATATAACCTATGGCACCCAGAGCTACTAAGACCACCCCCCATGCACTCCTCTCAGTCCCAGACATCCATAAAATATCACGGTGTGAAGGTGTGGAACAACTTACCCCCACCCATCCGAGCAAAGACTACGCTCCCTTCCTTTAAATCATCTCTTAAAAAATATCTATTGTCTAAGTATTAATATTTCTTGTAATACCTACTATATTTACAGTACCTGCTTTTATTGTACCAACAAAACCGTTTTATCGGAAATTATCATGTAAATAAATAAGTAGTTACCATTGCAATTAAACATAATTGCCAACTAGACATAATCCTGACAGTTCTGTCCTCTTGCTCAACCTTAATACTGTACAACCCATGTTGTACTGCTTCCCCATTATATTTGTTTTTCAATTCCACTGTAATTTATGTACCCTGTATATACTGTATACACTACTTATAATATAAAAAAATAAAATAAATAAATATTGAAGTGATAACCGTGGTAACATTATGAGATGTTCTTATTACCACCATGCTATGTGTACTATTCCAGATGATACTAAATGTTACATAATACTTCTTTGAGATAAATGTACACTATAGTATATATCAGGTGCCTCAAAGAGAGCTCAGGTTCTCAACTGACTCAGCCATGTTAATATTGTTATTATTATCCACTCTGTATCTGTGTTTTTCTGGATAAATAAACTGATTCAATTCAGGTACTGAAGCCACTGAAATTATATTTCTCAACATCTTTCTCCACAGCCAAGGTAGTCAGATGCCTGGAAGCTGGCTTATGTCTCGCCAATCTACAAAAAAGGAAGCAGACAAGTTCCAGGGAATTTCAGACCAATTAGTTTAACCAGCATTATGGAAAAGGTCTTGGAAACCCTGGTGAGGAAGAAGATTGTGGACTTCCTTTTTTAGAGTGATCGTGGAATAAAATTTTTAATTTTCATTTGTTGCCAATATATGAAATCGAATTTGAAACTTTCTACGATGTTTTTTAAGTGTTATGAACGATTTTGACCTTTATTTCTGGCACAAATCAATAGTTTCTGGGATAAGCCCCCTTCCATCTTAGAATTTAGAGACTTGCTATGAAAATCAAGGTAAAAAGTGTTCAAAACACATTAAAACCACCAGAAAAACAAAACCCTAACCAATCTAACCTAACAGGGGAGCTGCAGTCATTCGATGTTTAGCGTGTTTACCACCACATGGTACGGTGTTCTGGGTGTACCACCATGTACGAACATACACAATAATATGTTAATTATCTCGCTTAAACGTAAATTGCACCAGAAATGCCATTGAAGAAAAGTGTCTTAAAATTGTCGAAACTACTGATTGCAACTATAAAATTCCAGAGATGGTGTAGTGACAAGTGAAATAATACCCATAATGTCTATTGTTTGTTATGGAGCACACATACAAAAAAAGTATTAAGTCAAACAGCTGACCTTGTCCACCTACAGTACAGTATATAGTTTCACTACCATAATTGGCCAGACTTACTTTCTTTAAATTTACTTAGCCAAATTAATCAACAAAATTAACATGTGTAATTCCATCTCAAAGGAATTTAATATTACTTCCCACTGTTCACCAAAATATAAAGTAAACAAACTTCACTATAACAATATGTCCAAAAAAAAAACCAGTTTTCCCTTAGCTAATAAGCACCTTACCCTCTCTCACACAGTACCAACAAAATAGGGATAATGGAGTACTGCTTCTCGCATAAAAACACATGCAACACGAATGCAATTGACAACTTAAAAAAAAAAATATATTAACACCAATACTTGCAATGTCACATCACCTTAATTACCACACCTTTTCCCTCTACTAGTCAATACAACAACCATAAATTCCCTCATCCAAAAATACCATTAATATATGATCTTGAAGTACTATAAAATCACTATAAAGAATATTTATAATTTTATATCATAGCCAAAAACTCTATCGAGGTCAGTCAAGTCTCTCTCTCTCTCCCTCTTGTCTCTCCTCCACACTTCTCACCTCATTTACCTCCTTCTCCCTCACTCACCTGAACTGGTTCCTGCACAAGCATAATTTCACCGTCTATACGAAGTCCAAATCTATGAGAATAATCCTTAGTAAGAGCCTACACTGTCATTTTCACAGAGGATTCCTTAGGGCACCCGGACTCTCAGGGTCATCAGAGGGAAGCCATAATGAAAAGTTTTAAACTCCCGTCTATTGGTTCCTTTTAACTTATACCTTCATCTAAATAATAAAAAAATTACCCTAAAAAACAACTCAGTTTTATATTTTGTGAGATAATTTATAAGTAATATTTATAAGGATGTATTAAGATGAGGTAGTGGGAATAAAGAGCCAGATAGTGTTGGTGGCAGCAGCTGTTCTAGACCTCACGTTGCTCTCACTGTTAAATATTTCATACTAATTTTAGTTCATATGCGAGAATGCCTCCCAAAAATGCCCAGAAAGGAGGAGCGACTCAGTCTAAAAAAACGGACCAGAAGAAAAAGGAGAAAATAATTGAGGTAAGAGAAGAAATTGAGGGGGAAAAACTTGCCGCCTCCTTCCATGACCTGGAGTTTATACCCAATATTTTATTTTAATTGAATTTACTGTTACTATTTTACTGTTGATAAGTGGTTCAGTTAAATCATTGACCGTAATTGATCCACACTGCAGCTTTAGAGGGCTGTGCTAAATTTATAAACCCCTTTTTGTCAATTGTCATAGGTGGTGTACTAGTGACTGACAGACGGTAAAATGTGGAGTATTTTTTTTTATGAAGTTGTTGTGATTGTAGTTGTTACTTGATTGTAGTTGTTAATTGATTGTAGTTGTTACTTGAATACACACAAAAAACGAGGTAATGATTGACGACTGACCCGCCGGTGATTTAGCATAGTAAACGATTATAAAAACACTCATAGTTTGTGGTAATATACCCGGTATATAGCAGTGGATATTTTGCTATGACCGGCTAAGTTCCTACTAATGCTATTGAAGGTATTAGTTAAGTTTCGGACCATTATCAGCTACAAATATTTGGATGTGATTTTAGGTTTAACTCGTTAAATTAGACGACAATTCTTCTATGACATTTTCGTCATGTATTAATAATAACCGAGATATGAGGTGTTGTGTTTACCTTAAAAACTTGAAGTTATTATTCATCTCTTCCCTGTACATGGGTAGTGTGTCGACCGTGACTTCATGGCTTAAGTTAGGTTTGTTTGGTTAGGTTTCAAAATCATTCTGGAGGTGAAGCCTAAGTTTTTCTGATGGTTTTTTATGTGTTTTATTCACTCGTTTTGGCTGTGGGGGGAAGAGGTCTACCTAAAGAACGAGTGATTTCTGATGAAAATCAATATCAAAATTGAATAAAACTCATCAAAAACCATCGGAAGAACGTAGTCTTTATCACCAAAAGGATTATGGTCCTTTACCCTATTTTACTGTGAGTGTGCTCTGATTGGCTAATCGCCCATTACCAACTCTCTGCCGGGGGGCAGAGACCCACAGCTAGGAAGCTGTTGTTTTGTTTTAATGGGGATTAGCCCACCTGGGCACAGGTCACTGTTGCTTGTTTTTCTTATCAACTGAGGTTTGGTTAAAATTATAAATAACCACATTTTAACACATTTGCACAAACTACAACAGTTTCCACTATAAAGTATAGTGAAATTGCGGTATTTTTATAATTGTTTGCAATGAAAATTCGTCAGCAGGTAAGTTGTCAATAATTGTCAAATATATATTTCTGTCTGCAATGAAACCTAACTTAAATATAACCTGCATCTAAAGTCCAAATAACAAAATATTACCTAAAAACACTTCAATTTCACTCTGTTTTATAGTGGTTTTGGTAAATATGTTAAAAGTGTTTATTTCTAAATTAAACCTAACCTAACCTTTGTTGATAAGAAAAGCAAGTGGCAGAAGTTTTGTTTGAAGACCTCACCAACCTAACCAAAGAAACTTGCCTAACATTCCTAGCTACGAGGCTCCACCCTCTGGGGATTATTAAACAGAGAGAACTTACTATGAATGATATGGTATAATTTTACTTTTTTTGTGGACGTGAGAGCACATGGTTGGTCCTGGTGGCTCATAAACATACACTGGCGACTGGTGTTGATCGGAGATGATTGGCTGTGTACCGCCACATCACCGCCGAGAAAAAAATGTAGTGTGCGCCTAGTGGCCTAATTATCTACCAAAGGATGCAATTTCCCCCCAAAAGTATCATCATATCAGAACTCACTGATGAAAAATATAGTATGAATATAAACATCAAAACAAGTAACATATCGGTGAGGCAGTTATCAATATTAGCCGCAACATTTACTTGAACCTAATGTAATGCAAATGCATTACAGGAGGATCTTAATAAACTGCAGGGGTGGTCTCAAAAATGGCAAATGAAATTCAACACCAGCAAGTGCAGCATACTTAATATTGGAAGAACAAATACTGACAATGTATACAGCCTTAACAACATCAACCTAGAGAAGTCGACTTGTGAAAGAGACCTAGGGGTGTTTGTAAGCCCGGACCTACGGCCTAGAAAACAGTGCGTTAATGTTTGAAATAAGGCAAACAGAGTATTGAGCTTTATATCTAGAAGTGTAAGTAATAAGAGTGCAGAGGTCTTATTGCAACTATATCTTGTGCTAGTCAGGCCGCACCTCGATTATGCGGTTCAGTTCTGGTGCCCTTATTATAGAATGGATATCAATTCACTAGAGTCAGTGCAGCGAAGAATGCCGAAAATGATTCTGGGACTTGGAAACCTTCCATATCAGGATAGGTTAAAGAAACTTAACTTGCATTCCCTAGAAAGACAAAGAGTGCGGGGAGATATGATAGAAGTATTCAAGTGGGTGAAAGGAATCAATAAAGGGGATATAGATAAAATTCTTATAATATCCGAGCAGGATAGGACTCGGAGCAACGGATTTAAGTTGGATAAGTTTAGGTTTAGGAGGGAGATAGGAAGAAACTGGTTCACAAATAGGTTGGTGGACGAGTGGAACAAGCTTAGCAACTTTGTAGTAAGTGCTGGAACTCTGGAAAGTTTCAAAAGGAGGCTAGATAGATTCATGGATGATAGAGAGTGGTAGTAACTCTCGACAGGAGCTGCCATGCACAGGCCAACCGGCCTATTGCAGACTCCTTATTTTCTTAAGTTCTTATGTAACCTGATCTAACCAACCAAAGAAACCTACTTCACTTCCTTACTGCACCTGTACTGATTTTGGTAATTTTTGAGAACAGCACTATACCACTAGAAGGAATTGTTTGATTTTGTTCAATTTTCTGCAGATGTTCGTATAATAGAAATTACTGTACTGTATTTTAAAAGAGGCGATAGTTTTTTAACAAGCCTTTATATTTTAATTTTTTCTCTGTCAACTATCATAAATCACCTGTAGTGGGTAGTTCATGAAGGATGGGAGAAATTGTTGGGTAAAACAGTGAAAAACTGATCATAGGACACTAAAATGTCTGTGTGCTTTGTATGTGAAATAATTATTTACTGTATAATTATACTCCACCAAAAAATCTATCGAGTCACTGTCATCTGTTTGTTTTACACCTGACAGCTTGGTCCAAGCGTACTCTCACGTCCACAAAAAAAAATATAATAAAATTACACCATGATGCTTCAACAAATATGTACTGTACTGTATTCATTTGTACCAGATATCAAAATAAGTACATGTACTTGGTTTAATGTGAGGGGGGGGGGGCTGTTTCCTGGCTAGAAAGTTAGGAGGTTAAGTAGGTTTCTTAGGTTGGTTTGGTCAGGTTCTAGTAAATGTTGCCTCTGTTAAAATACTGTACTGTAATTTTGTAATTATTTTTATTTATTTTTTACGGGGAATAGCCCACCTGAGCACATATCATCGACCCACAACGGGGCCTAGGGGGTGAAAAAATGAGAGTAAAATTAAAATAAAAATAGAAAAGAAAAGGATTATATTAATCTTCACCACGAAGATGCCGGAAAACCAGCTTTTTAAAGTGAGACATTGTATGAGTGTGGAAACTCAGAAGAAGGCAGAGCATTCCACAGTTTGGCAGTATGAGAAAAGAAGGATGTACTGTCACGGGTTGTTCTAGTGTGACCCACAGGATGCCAAATCCACCGATCATTGCCCGTTAAAGTACCTGTAAAAGAAAGAGAGTGAAGGAACATTGCAGCGAAGAGAAAAGGGAAAAAGATTATCAACTAGAGGAAGAGAGTCAATAAGACGAAATGCTTTTGATTCCACCCTATCTAACAGTTGGACAGAAGAAGAGTCACCCCAGATATGAGAGCAGTACTCAAGTTAGGACGAATGAAACCCTTATATACTTGGAGCAACTGCTCAGGAGTGAAGTAGCTACGGCATCTGTACAGCATTCCCAGCTTTCGGGAGGCAGCTTTAGCAATGTTGTGGATGTGTGGCTTCCATGACATATTAGAGGAAATGGTGAGGTCTTGCATATCTATTTTAGAATTTGGCAGAATGATAAATAATAATAATAAATGGTTTATTTATAGAGTTGCAGCCGGTGGCTGAAAATATACAGACTTGCATTTGATTTAGACATAATGATATAATATGCGTTGAATACATTTACAGGGCTGTACAGTACATAAATCAGGAGTTGTTAATTATTTTAACAATAGAAGGGATGGTGCTATTCTTATATCTCAGTGCAGGCTCTTATGGGCTGAATTATTTGTTGTGGCGGACTGCGCGAGGTGGGTGGGGGGCTGCCGGTGGCAGGAGGTGGCGATGACGAGGGTGGTGCATTAGTTGGCTGCCAAACCTTTCCAGTGCTTGGTGGTGGAGGTCACTGAGGGATGACATTTCTAGGATGGAGAGAGCGTTGATGTAGCCGGAGTATTCTGCGCCGAGCATGAGTCTGCAGGCCCTTTTCTGTCCCTTCTCTAGCCAACGTTGTTGAGTGGAGTTGAGAGAAGACGACCAGGCTGGTGACGCATACATTAGTTTGGGGAGAATATAGGCATTGTAGATAGTCCTCAGCTCTGGCGTGGGTGTCCCAAGTGAGCTAAGTCGTCGTAGCATGTAGAGACTGTACGAGGCTGCCTTGACTGTGTTATTTACATGGGCCTTCCAGTCCAGTTTGTTGTCTATAGTTACACCCAGGAGTTTGGCAGACTGCACCAGCTGGAGAGGATGGGCACCCACTGTGACTGCTGGGGCTTGCACTGGAGTGGTGGCGGTATTGATGTGCATGACTACACTTTTGGTGTGGTTGATGGTGACCTTGTTCTCCGTAGTCCATGCCTGTAGCCTGTCCAGGGTGCCTTGTAGCGATGAGTAGTCTGGTGCGGTGTTGTCCACTGAAACCCCCACAGTGCAGTCGTCCACGTACTTCCATCTGTGAGGAGTGTCCGACAGAGTGTCGTTGATCAGGATGAGGAAGCACAGTGGTCCCATCTTGACCTGGGGACCACCGCAGGTGAGGTGTTGGAATGTGGAGATTGAGCCCTGATACCTCACTGCCTGAC